AAATCTCCGTGAGTTCAAGACCAGCCTGGTCTACAGAGCGAGTGCCAGGGTAGGCCCCAAAGCTACACAGAGAAACCCTATCTCAAAAAACAAAAACAAAATCTCGTTTTCATAATTAGATCTTAAACTCAGTGAAGACGGTGGCTTTCTCTCATCTCCAGGCAGAAAGTGCAGACTCCAGAGGCAGCCTTCCAGGGTTAATGATCTGTCTCTCCTGCCACCAGTAGACCTGGTTTGAACTTACTTATCTCTCCAATCCAGACAGTGACACAGTCAGCCTTCCTAGAGCTATGAGGATCAAAACCCTGACCCCAGATCAGACAAGACACATCAGAGAGTGCCAGAAACTAGAACCTGAAAGCTTGCAAAGTGACAATGTCAAAGTCCCTCCCTGAAAATACTAATTACAAAGTGGAGAGTGGATTGGAGACCCCTAGCAGTTCCAGCTTCTCCGAGGAATGGAAGATCAGGAGCCATGGGATGGTCAGCATCACATGCCCTGAATCTGAGAGCATCCAACTCGTTTCCACAGTAGCCACTTATTGCCCTTCTTAACCTTCTCTCACCAGTCTTGTCTTTGGAGCAGCACAGCCATTTACAGAGATGTGACAAGGTCAGAATCACATAAGTACATTCAAACCAGGTCTGTTAGCAGCAGGAGAATCAGCCTACCCCAGCAGGATGGCTCTGGAGCCTACAAAAAAGGCCCAGCCCCAACCAGGGGCAGGGGTCCCTCTGGGTTGACATAGAGATGAGATTTTAAAACACATCTCTAGCACAAACAGAGAAGGGATTGGAAAAGTGGAAAATGGGCTGTGGAAGCTGACCTGGTGATTATCACGTCCGGTGAGACTGAGAGCTGCCCTGTGGGTGTATCTTATGGGCTAGTCCAAGAGGCTTCCCACTCCCTACCTCTCACCTCCTAGACTCCTGTTCCCATTTGATTGGCATCCCTCAGACTTACTATAGTTTTATATAACTCAATAACTCAATAAGGCAGTTTTGTCGTGTTAGACAACCTGGATTTCCTGTGCTATCGTCACTCCTACCCCAGCCTCCTCTGTACCCTCTAGTCCCCATTGTTGACCTTCCTATGTAGTTCTTCCTATCACCACATCTCAGGGATTCACAGAATCCTGACCATGACCTAAGTTCAGATCTGAATTAGGAGTCAACAGTCTAGGGCACACCTGAGGGTATAGGAGTGGCCAGTTTCTCTGGCCTCTCTTCTGTTCCTTTCTCTATACCTCACAACCCCACCTTGTCCAGGGACTTACTGTGCTCACCTGCTACTACAACTCAGCTGCCCTCTCCTTACCAGCTTCATTGTCAGGCCTGTCCCCTCAGGCATGCCCAGTAATCAAGATGCTTGTCAGACCGCGTCTCCCTAACACTCCTTGCAGTGCCACTCAGCCCTGCCACTCACCTCTGAGTGGAGCAAGCTTAGCTAGGCCTCCCAGCCCTTTCCTGTAAATGCACTCATAGCCAGGAGGAGTGCCATATTAAATCAAGGCTGATGGAAACCAGGGGCTGTGATTATCCAGCCAAGATGCAGCATGGGAAGCTGGCTGCTGCCAGCTCCAGGTGAGAGCGTCTGAAGTTAATTGTACCAGGCTTTTATTAAGAGAATGGTCACTCCCCACAGCTGCTCTTCTGGCAGCCCCTTCACAGGACCTCTCAGTCCAGCACCCTCTGCTTCGGTTGGCTCCTTATCTACCATGTCTTCTAGATAAGTGGAACCCCACTAAAGCACCATAGCCTTCCTCCATGTGCCCTCAAAGAGCCAGCCAGGCACAGCAATAGCCTGCATCCATGGAGCCCTGAGAGCGCCTCTCCTTCTGCTTCCTCTCCCCCAGGTTGAACAAATACAAATCAAGTGTTTTCCTTCTTTACTTATTTTGGTTAATTTTTTTTTTCAACCAAACATCTTTCTACAAGGCTGGGCTCAGGACAGACACCTTTAAAAAGTGACTCGTGACTAGCGTGGATAAGGCCAAGAGTTCAATCCCTAGTAGTGTAAAGCTATACAAATTAAAGGGGGATTACTACATTTGACAAAGAAACATGTGGCCTCATTTAACCCCCAGCATGCTACACATTTTCTATCGTTGTGTGTGATTTATGTGATACATGCATATAAATCAGATTTGCATATGCCATGGTCACATGTGTGTAGAAGTCAAAGAGCAACTTTCAGAAGCTGTGCTGTCCTCCCACCGTAGGATCTGGAGATTGAAATCAGGCAGTCAGGTCTTCAAAGCAAGCACGTTTACCCAGTGAGCCATCTTGCCAGCCCTCCTGTACATTTTATTAAAGAAATCTGATATACCTCCAGATTTTTTTCTAAATAAATAGCTATTTGAGACTAGAGCTTGGGAGGATCCCAGTGTGATCTGGGGTTTAATTTCATTGGAACCTTTCCCAAAACCATCTAGGAAGCTCCCAAGAAACCAACCAGTCACTCATACCTGTTCCCCCATGCTCACTTCCATAGTAATTAGAGACTCTTTCTCTTTGTCCAAGAGATTATAGCAACATAAAACCTTGACCCCAAAGAAGAGTTACAGGAAGAAGAAAGGTTTCCTGAAGAGCACTTGGAGAACGATGATGGTTATACGGTACTCATCAGGTGGCTTTGCCTGGCACAAAGGGGAAAAGTGTGTTCTGTGAGGCCCCATAGATAGAAAATAATGCAGAGACAGAATTCCGTTCCATGCCGTGCCATGTAAGGAAAACTGGTGGCTAGAGACGGCTGCCTCGGGTCACCAGAGAATCTCCAGAAATGGACAGTGTGGAGACAGCACCTGGAGACTGAGCTTCCAAGAGAGGGGGCCACAGGAGGTGCTTCCCAGACAGCGGACACCCGAGTGGGCTTGGTTCCAGCTTCTGCTTAAGCCAGAGACCTCTTCTTTCAGTCTATGGTCCTCTCCCTGTGATTGAATTAATTAAAAGTTCCCCCCAACTCCCCACCAAAAACAAACAAACAAAAAAACAGACGATACATTAGCCCGTTAGTTACCAGATGGAGTAAAGGGAAATAGAATTTATCCAAGACCAGGGCTGGCATGTAGCTCAGGGTTAAAGTGCTTGCCTAGCATGAGCAAGAAGCCTAGGCCAATCCCCAGTCGTGGAAGGAAAAGTAGAGGTAGAGAGAAAAATATGCTCAAATGCTTCATAAGGCTAGGTGCTTTGAAGACATCTGAGTCACTCTTGACTACCACTTAGTATCCACCCACATTTGCTGCCTACCAGGCTCTGCCAAGTACTGATCTCATTTCCTCCTCAAGCTTCCTACAGGGTAGGTATGAGCACTGTCTCCATGCTGTGATGAGGGAACTAAGCTCCTGGGAGGAAAACTCACTACCCAAGGTCACTAGCTCTTAAATGGATGAGGTCATTGGAGTTCGTATCTGTCCACAGAGACACTTGTTAATTCTGCCACATAGTAGTTCACTGTGAGGCAGCAGAGGAGCCCCAGACGGGAGTGACTTGAGAAATTGAGGCACTGGACGAAGTGCTGAGTGCAGTGTCTGGAACTCAGCAGAGTCATGGCTGTGTATAAATGTGCCCAGCAAATCCTGGCAAGCCAAGTTCATCTCCAGGCTCCTTCAGGCTCTGTCCAAAGTTGACACAATCCCAGCGAGCGAGCGAGTGTGTGTGTGTGTGTGTGTGTGTGTGTGTGTGTGTGTGTGTCTTGCCATCAGCACCTCCCAGCCCAGTGGGCCTGAGTGCTGAATGGGCTTGTGGGCAGGGAGGAGGAAAAGGCAGATATATGGCTGGAGTTGGCAGAGCCAGGTGATGTATGTGGCGCCTGAGGGAGCTGCACAGTGACACTCTGGATTCCAGCCGGCAAGCGTCACTCCACAGGGATAGGCGCCGAATTATTGCTCCATATGAAACTGAGGACTGATGGGAGCTTTCAGTTACAGACTGATAGCAACAGCCAAAATTGGATTGTTTGCTATTTATTTTTTTTAACTTCTGTCAAGGTCACTACTATAACAGGAAAACACTACCCAAGCAGCAGGTATTTTTCATCCACTCTGCCCGAAAGAACAATCTGCAACCACAACTTCTGTGACAGGGCCTTACCTTGTCAACTCTCTCCCAAGAAAGATGCCCTCATTACTAGGGCCACCTAAGACCTGGCATTTGCTTCTCAGTTTAAGATCTGCCTATTTCTGCTTCAGTAAATGATTCCCCTTCAGGCCCACACCCTCGGCCCCCTCTGCCCAGTTGCCAGTCCTCCGGCCTCTTCAAATGTCCTATGTCCCAGAGAGCCCCTGTCCAAGCATTCCATAGTTCTATATCTTCTTCTTTTCTGTATGTCTACACCACCTCGTCTAGCTGTTAATTCTCTTTTTTGTGTGTCTACACTTTCATTAATTTTTCTTTTCAAGACAGGGTTTCTCTGTAGCTTTGGAGCCTGTCCTGGAACTTGTTCAGTAGACCAGGCTGGCCTCAAACTCGCAGGGATCTACCTGCCTCTGCCTCCCAAGTGCTGGGATTAAAGGCGTGCACCACCACCCAGCACCTTACGCAATTTTTACATTCACCAGATGCTGCTGCTGGGTCAAAGTCCATGCCCAAAGCAACTAGAGTCTGCCTTTAGGAGGCGCTCTGTGGAGTCAGGATAGGCTTACAGACATTCAGAAATTCTTCCAGTAGCATTGTTAGTGAAAGATACAGTCATAGATGGAAGCACTTAAGGCTGTCAAGCCATGAGGAGCATGATTGGTTGTGCCCAAGAAGCATTTGTGAATAGGCCCTGCCACTTCTGCTTGTTCCAAACAATGGGGCTAGCTAGGGATAATCTGGATCAACCTTCAGTGGTCATGAGCCAGATTAGGACCCCTGGAGCCCCAATATCTGCAATCGTGTCTCCCCCGTTCCCCCATCCCAGCCTCCCTCTCCCCGCCGCACCTCCACACACAGAGGGACAGAATAACCCAAGTCCCAGCTGAGACCAGCCTCCCTGAACCATTTGCTTTTTCCCCCAGTACATGGAAAAGCAGAGGAAGCGTGAAGCAGAAGAGCGGCGCCGCTTCCCACTGGAGCAGCGACTGAAGGAACACATCATTGGCCAGGAGAGTGCCATTGCCACCGTGGGTGCTGGTGAGTCCTCAACACTAGTCAGGTGGGAAGGGTCAGGGCAGCTTGTGCTCCACCACAGAGGTTCGAGTCTTGCTGCTCCAGAGCCAGAAAGATGTGGTTTATATCCACGTTATCATTTGCTGAGTACCATCTGTATGCCAGTCATTGTCTTTAGCTCTTGGCATATTTTAGGCCATTTAGTCCTTATAGCAATGCTTGAGATGTGCACCATCAAATACTATTTTACAGAGGCATGGTGCAACATTTAAGAAATTTGTTCAAGGCTACTTTCCCTGTGCTTATCATTGAACTCTTGCCATCAACTGGTCCACTACCCCATGCCCTACTTCTAAGGTGGGACACCTGAGACTCAGAGGGGCAGTAGCTGAGCTAGAACAAGACTTCAGTTCCCATATGCCAGCCAGCCCAGGACTCACTCCCAGACTTTGAGAATGGTTTGGCAGCAGCTGCATGGCCAGATCTTACAGAAAACATCCCAAGAAATGCCTTCTTCCCCACTGATAAAGAGCTCATTCCCATCCTGAGGGCTCTCTCTTGACAGGTGTGTACAGTGGATGCTGATGAAGGGAGGGGCCTCACCTGTCTTCTACAACTCAGACCTGTGCCTGTTTCAGGGTGACTCTAGGCAGGTGAAGTAGGAAACCAGTTGCCTGTACCAGACTGAAGAAGTGGGGGTCATGTCCTGGAGACAAGCGATTCTCCAAGGATGTTCTCTGCACCAGCGGCCATGGTGTCAGGCTTTGGTTTACACCTATGAAGTCACAACCTAGTTTTTATATTTTGAACAGATCCTTTAGGCTGTCTGCCACTCAGCTAGAGTGTAAAACCCTCTATCCTAAACTGTCTATGCCTAAACTGCCAGCTAGTCCTACTGATTGGTCCCTCTAGTCTAAGCATCTCATCCCATTATGCTGCCCAGTGTCTGCTCAGTACCCACCAGGCTCTGCCTAAGAAAGGAACCATCAGGCTGAAATCCAGGCTGTCCACTTTGGGACATTCTGGGCACACAATAGGGAATAATTAGAAAATAATGGCAGTTACCCCAAGACACATTGAGCCCAACCTTCTCTCCATCATCCTCATCTATCAGGAGAGCTCATGAGCCCTTCACCAGGGGCCTGACTCCTTCAGCAGATGAATGGAACCTAGGGACCAACGCTGCCATCCCATCTAGAAATCAGAAGGTGACCTGCAGGGTTATGTAGGCGCTGGGAAGAGCCACCACTTGGTCTCAGTCTGAACCTGGATGCTCTTGAGTTCTAGTTATATACTTCTGTGTCCAGCTGCCACTTTTGGGATGGGGCCCCACCTGAAGGCCTAACAACAAACCGCTTATTGGAGTCTCACTTCACGTAGATTGGACTACAGCTCCCTCAGTGACTCAGCTTCTTATATGCCTGTTTCTTTTGACTGTCTCCTAACCTCTGTCCTTCACTTCTCAGCAGCCCCTCAAGCCCAGAAGCTGAAACACTCCCCAGAAACAGCATTTTACAGGGGCGCTGAGATGCTGCTTCCTCTGTGCTCCTCAGCTTCATTGGAATCACTTTCCTTGCCTTTATAGTGAGGTACCAAGACCAACACCCCGTGACTCTGAAGCCCATGTTTTTTATCTGCCACCCAGCCCACAGTCTAGTCCCTGTCCTCACGATGTTTTCTTGGGTTCGGTCCTGTCGCCTTAATTAAGCCTCTAACTGAGCACCCGGGCCCAGCTTGCCTCTTCCCAGCCCTGAGCCGACCTCTGGTGCCTGTCTTGATGTCATCCCTTGCAATTGCTTCAAACTGGGTGATCTACTCTCCACCTCCAAGAACTGTTGGAATATGCACCCTGGGAACTCCATTCCCTGAAAGCCTCTCTGTCGTCTGAACTCTGCATGAGGTCAGCAGTAGACTAGTTGCCAAGAAGGCCCACTTCTTGCCCCATTGTGTATAGATTGGCCCTGCTATGGCTCTGGTGACCCTACTACAAGACAGTGCCCTTGGGACTCATGATGTACAGGGCTTTACCTTTTTTTATTTCATTTGCTGTGCACCTGCCATTCTGAAGAGCCCTGCCACTGGATCACACTCAGAATGTCCTGCACCATGTTCATTCCTGTGACCAGATCCCAGAAGCTTCTGGATGCCCAGAAGAAAGAGTGGGCAGCCTAGTGGCTGCAGCTGCAAGCCTGGTCAAGGCATGAGGTGCTCTCTACCCAGGACCTCAGCACCTTAGAACCCCAGCAGGCAGAGGAGGGCGGGGCAGATCTAGAGACCATGTCAGGCCTTTCTGGGTTCTCCAAGCTAGTGTCACATGTGTGTTAGGGACTATCTAGATGGGGACAGAGCCTGGCACCCCATGGGTACCATGAGGATGGGCAGCCAGAGAAGTGCTGCAGAATGAATTGATTTGATAAATGGCCATTTATTACCCTCACGAATTGGCTGAAACCAATTTCGGTCACATCAACCCCTGGTAAGTGCTGGGATATTGATTTGTGCAAAGTAATACAGTGAATTTATCAGTGTGATCCCCAGCTGCGGGGCTTCTAGCAAGGCTGGCGCACAGTTACTGCCTTACAAATGGAGGAGCTAAAGCACCAGCCGTGCAAACCAGGCCCCCAAGGCTGCTCTTATCTGTTCGGGTCACCAGATCCACAAGGCCAAACTACATACCACATGGACATGGAAACTGAGTTTCACCCGTCCAGAACCCAGTCAAGGGATGGAAGATGTCATTCTGGGTAGCAGACTTCCTGGGAGCTCAGGACAAGTCCCACTCACCTCAGAAAGGCTGTCTGCTGAGCATATTAAGAACTAGGCATCCATTCACTGGTCTCCTAGATAAAAATGTAGACATTTCCTTGGCTCCGCCTTCCTTCCTTTTCACCCAGTACAGCTCAGGTTCTGACATTCTCTTCCGTGGTCTCAAACTTAGCTTCTCTTCTTTTCCTGTACAATTTTTACTTACTCATTGCTGTGATAAAATACCTAACAGTAGCCAAGTGGTGGTGGCACATGCCTTTAATCCCAACACTTGGGAGACAGACAGGCAGGCAGGTAGATCTCTGAGTTCGAGGCCAGCCTGGTCTACAGAAGGAAGATTTTATTTGGGCTCATAGTTCAAGAATATAGTCCATAATAGCAGGAAACCATGGTGACAGGAGCTCAGGCAGTTGGTAGCAGAGCAAGCAGTTAATGCTAATGCTTAGTCACTTTTTCCTTGTTACTGAGTCTGGCATCCTGCCCATGAAATGGTGCCACCCACGGGCTAGATGGGTTTTCCACCACAATTAACCTAATCTAGATAATCCCGCACAGGCATGGTCAGAGTCTTGTCACCTAGATAAGTCTAGAACCTGTCAAGTTGACAGCATGAACCATCATTCCTCATACTCTGATCTGGCCATGCATTGGCCTCCCTTCCTTCCCCTAGTGTTCCTGCTGGGCCAAAGTGATCATTAGAAAACACAAATCTGCCGGGCATTGGTGGTGCACGCCTTTAATCCCAGCACTTGGGAGGCAGAGGCAGGTGGATCTCTGTGAGTTCGAGGCCAGCCTGGTCTACAAGAGCTAGTTCCAGGACAGCCTCCAAAGCCACAGAGAAACCCTGTCTCAAAAAAACCAAAAAAAAAAAAAAAAAAAAAAACACACACACACACACAAATCTACCTGTCTCATAAAAACAAAAAAAAAAAAAAAAAGAAAGAAAGAAAACACAGATGTAAATAGCACTTCTTTGTTGAAGCCTTTGAGTGGTCCTTATTGTCCTAATGTGGCATGTAGGGACCCCCGCTGCCCCTGCTTGCACTCACAACAGCCTGCCTCTGCCTTCCCACACACATGAAGCTGCTTTCCCGTTTGAGTCTATCACTGCTGCCCTCTCAGCCTATAGCTCTTCTTCAGGCCTTCCTGCCCCCCTAGGGTCCAGCCCAGCCCCACACACTAGCTAATCCAGTTCAGGAGCAATGAACTTCAGGCTCCTTGTAAGAGGAAACCAGGACATGTTTGTGTTATCCACTCTCCACTCAAAGTAGGTGCTGAACCAGTTCGTGAAATTCACTTATGTCGTGTGGCCCCTTGTCTGCCCTGTCAACTGCTCTGAGGAAAGAAGAGAAGCTATAGCACCTGCCTCCGATAGGTCACAAGCCTCCTGGAAAGGGAACTCCAGTAAGGTTCTTAATTACAGCCATATTCCTTGGCCTTTGACCTCGTGAGTGGGCGGCAGGTCAGCCTGCAGCTTCAGAACTGTGTCTGTGTCCCAGTAGATCCTCCGATCCCCTGTACTCACTCCCTCATGCAACTCTGTCCCTCCCTAGCATGCCTTCCATTTCTCCTCCCGCCCTTTTCCTGGGCTTCACGTGAGCACCGGCCATTGCATTGATGGTTTGATGAAAGCAAAGCTCTGGGCTGAGAAGAGACAGCTCTTTCTTCTCTTTGCCTCTTTATACACCAGAGCCTTCCCAGGATGCCGTATTCTACCTCATGCTTCAAGCAGGAGTGTCACACAGTTACAAACACTCTGCCGTACTCCAGCACACCGGCCCCTCTCAAGCCCACAGTGGCAGTGTTTCCCTCAGGGCTGCGTGCCAAGAAAATGGCAAAGCTTGCTGCAGAAAGGATGCCTAAGACTCCCTAGAGGGCTCACAAGAGAGCAGAAGCCTTTGCCCAGAGTAGCAGAAACCACCTGCAGGACTGGGTCTCTCCCAGCTACTGTCCTCTGTGAAATGGGAATTAGAGAATCAGTCTTCCTTTTTTGGGTTTTTTTTGTTTGTTTGTTTGTTTGTTTTGTTTTTTGTTTTTTTGGTTTTTGGTTTTTGTTTTTGAAGACAGGGTTTCTCTGTATTGTTTTGGAGGCTGTCCTGGAACTTGATCTGTAGACCAGGCTGGCCTCGAACTCCACCAACGCCTGGCTGTACCACCAATGCCCGGCCAGTCTTCCTTTTTTTTTTTTTTTTTAAAGATTTATTTATATTTATTATGTATACAATGTCCTGCCTGCATGTGTGCCCACAGACCAGAAGAGGTACCAGATCTCATTACAGATGGTTGTGAGCTACCATGTGGTTGCTGGGAATTGAACTCAGGACCTCTGGAAGAACAGCCAGTGCTCTTAACCTCTGAGCCATCTCTCCAGCCCCCACTGTTCCTTTTTACAGTCCCAGAAATAACAAGAATGAATTTAGTCAACAAACATTAAACCCTAAAACCAGTGAGGACCTAGTCACAACAATCCCTAAGTAATTAGAGTGCCCGGCACCAGCCTCCCCAGAACAGATTTAGGATGGGGCACTTTCTCCCCCAGATATAAGAACACAAATAGTAGAAGAAAACACCTTGCTGGGCGGTAGTGGCGCATGCCTTTAACCCCAGCACTCGGGAGGCAGAGGCAGGCAGATCTCTGTGAGTTCGAGGCCAGGCTGGACCGACAGACTCCAAAACAATACAGAGAAATCCTGTCTCGTAAAAAACAAAAACAAAAAAAAAAAAAACCTTACATTGTTTTCCCATGTCTGCTTCCTTAGTTTCTTCCTCATACTTCTTGAGATTATTACACTGTGGAAGGAGAACTTTAAAAATGCTAATACCAAAGCCGGGCGTTGGTGGCGCGCGCCTTTAATCCCAGCACCCGGGAGGCAGAGGCAGGCGGATCTCTGTGAGTTCAAGGACAGCCTCTAAAACAATACAGAGAAACCCTGTCTCGAAAAACCAAAAAAAAAAAAAAAATGCTGATACCAGCCAGGTTTAATAGTGCACCCCTTTAATTCCAGCACTCAGAAGGCAGAGGCAAGTGGATCTCTGTGAGTTCCAGGCCAGCCTGATCTACAGGGCGAGCTCTAGGATAGCCAGGGCTACATAGAGAAACCCTGTCTCAGAAAACAAAAACAAACCAAAAATGCTGACACTGAGCTGGTCTGTGGTGCTGTAGCGGCTCACACTTTTAATTCCAGTACTTGAGAGGCAGGGGCAGGTGGTCTACAGGGTAAATTCCAGGACATCCAGGACTACACAGAGAAACCCTGTCTCAAAAATAAAGTTAAATAAATAAGTACATAAGTAAATAAAAAATGTTTAAATGCTGACGCTGCTGCCACCATGACTTCCATTACTTTCACCCTAGTCATTGCCCCTCTCTTTGCTTTTCCAACCATTAACTCACTTCATCTGGGGAGCTGACAGCATATGTGTCTGTTTTAGAAACGAAGAAACAGACTATAAAGGAATAGGTATTTTACTAAGTCAGCAGCAAGACTCCAAGCTAACTCCTCCTAACTCGTCATCTCCGCCACACCACCCTGTAAAGGAATGCACAGGAGGAAGCTGATAGGCTAAGGGGGTTATGGTGGAATTAATCCTGCAGACTTGGTGCAGATGCATTCTTCAGTGGTGTCTGACAGTAACAGCCATGGCCAGGAGAAAGCGTCTGGAAAGGACAGGGCACAAGTGAGGTGTACAGCAGCGCAGCAGTGACAGAAAAGGCACCTGGTTGGACTTGAGGAGCTGGGGCTAGTGGGGGAGGCAGTGCTGCTGAGTTGCCCTATAAAAGTGCCCCCACCTCACCCCCGAGACACTGTGGAAAGCCAAGAGTGGAGGACTGAGTGCTCCAGATTGGAGGACTACAGAGGGAAAATTTTTGAGAGGGAGTCAGGGCTGGGAGAGCTGCCTCGCTTTGCTGCTCCTGACAGTGTGTGTTCAGGGTTAGTTCTGAGTATATGCCTATGGACTTGCGCAGGTTTCCTAATGTCTATGGATATATTGTCACCCATAAAACAGGAATCAGGATGAGAAAGTGTGACATTACTATAAAGTGCTAGCCAAGTGAGTTGCACATGGGCTTTGCCACAGACAGAGCATCCGCAGGCACCGTGGCCGCATGCATGTGGGCCCCCTCAGGTCTCCATCTGGCCCAACCTTTACCCCAGCCTGAGAGAACTCTTCCAGGCTCCCCAGCCTCAGTCCTCAGCCACCCGACCAGCCGCATACACCCTGGGGCTTGCCTTCCCCATTTTTTTCCTAGCTGCCTTCATTTTTCATTCTGTCGGACTCCATCTGCTTGGCCGTTTTTCTCTTCAGATATTATTAGAAATATCCAGAGTTATAATTGTTTAATGGTTGGCATTTCGCCTGTTTCACAGGGACCCTAGAGCAGGCCCACCCCAAACTCGTGCCCTGGGTCTGGCAGAATTGACCAGGGACAGCTGTGCAGTGGAGTCTGCCTGGCATTATAAAGAGCTCTCTCCCAGGTGCATTATTAGAAAGGAAGGGGAAAGATGGCCCCAGGCGTAATTCAATTCCACATTCTCCATGGTGTGTTTTTTTCCTCTGTGTGTGTGTGTGTGCTACGCAGCCCAGCAGTGTGCAGCTCTCAGTGGGCTAGCACACTACCCCGAAAGAGCAGTCAAGAGCAGAACCTCACAAATGTGATAACCTGCCCGCAGGAGGGAGGGGGTGCGGGGACATACCACCTGTCTGAGTAATGCTGGTCCTTCTGCCTCCCACAAACACAAAGTCTAAACCTACTTCAGGTTCCTCTGTTCCCAGCATGGGTTCTCAAATCTGCCAACTTTTGGAAGAACGGGACTCTTCCAGCTGGCCCTCTCTCAGGCCTGCCCCCGCACATACATGTTCACACAGAGCATCCACCAAGTCTTACCTTCTGTTGATTTACTACCTGAACTTGTCTCCAAATACCTTCCCCCAGCTCCATGTTTCTGGTGGCACCAGGGACTCCTCAGCCAGGCTTGGGGTTTGTCCCTTTATCCCCGTGTTCAAACCCATGAGGTCTCTGAGTATTTCTAACCAGCCTTCAGAGAACCCCAGCCAGCCAGTTAGAGCAGATCCAGATGCCAGCCCAGGGGAGCAATCAGGCTGTTTCCCCAGGCCCTTCTCTGGGAGCAACTCCTGGCATCACAGGTGGCTAGTCTGAGTTCCATGCATTTGCACTGCTTCCATCTGTTTCTAGAATGTGAAGAAGATGACAAGCATGGGGCTGAAAGCCTTACACAGGTGGCCCAGACTCAGTCAGCTCCTACCTATCTCTTACGTTTGAGTGTCACTGTCCCCCTCACCCCCCCGCTTTGTGATGGCCACCTCTGCAGATTCTGTCAGCCCCTGTGCCCCTGTGATCTGTCATTAGTCCTGCAGCTGCTTTGAAGCTCAGCTGCATACTGTTTGGGAGCTTGACTCCTCAGGATTGGCAGGCACATCCTAAGACTGTTGACTCCTCCATTGAGTAAGTTTCCAGACCTTGTGCTCTGACATATATCCTTTTCTTATTTTCCTCTGACACTCTGGGGACCAGACCAGACACACTGTTCCATCTGCAGACAGGCCCTGACATTGCACAGTGCTCTGCCCTCTTCCTGCTCCTAGCCACTATGTTTCTATTGGTGCCACCCAAATTGATACTCACGTCTTAAAGAAGCTGTATTGTGATTTTTTTTTAAATAAAGGCAAATTTTGGGAAAGAAGCAACTCTTATACGACTTAAACAAGTCTCTTTAGCCGTCTGTCTTTTTTCTGTTCCAGTTAATGGGGTTAGAAATCCTTTCCCTCAGGGTTCCTGTGGGTCTTGAATCAGTGGGTTGTAGGAGGTTTCCATGTGTACCTGGTGTACAGTGTGTTCAATAGACGACTCTTCTTGGGGCTCTGCCTCCTTCCACTCCCTGCTCTTCCTCTTGCGGCCTGAGGCTCAGTTTCCTCACCTTCATGCACAGTTCTTGGCCACTTATTTCCTCTTGAAGAAGGGCCTCAAGGGACTTCATACAGCTCTGTCCACTCCTCACCCCAGCCTTCCAGAAGCCATAATTAGCAGAGCTGGACCCCAAGCTCTACACGACCCTTGATTGGCTTCCTGATTGGTTCTGTTTCCACTTAAACCACACATCACCGTAGAGATTGGTTTCCCCAAAGGGGAAAGAGCCAAATCTTAAACCTCCCTGGATCCCCAGGTATCACCATAAAATCATGCCTCTACTGTTTTCCTAGGTGAAGAGAGGGGTGACCAGCAAGAGTTAACACTCCTCTCAGATTCCCCTTCACCAATCCCCCACCCCCTTCACCTCCATTCACCATCCACCCGCCTTTTGGTTTCCCTGGCAACGCTGAGTGCTCATCCTGGAAAACTTTATCCGAAATCTGCTCTGGGCAGCTTTCCAAATCCATGCTAACCTGATTAGGTATCTCTAGGGGCCTTGCCAGCTAATCAGATTAGGCAGCACTAATGGTAGTGAGGACTTTGAGTGGGCGCAGAGCAGTAAAACATATTGTATACTTAGTGATAATTATCCTGCCTTTTGTGTCATTGATTTATCTGTCTCCCTCCCCCTTCCGTGTTGTGTGTTTGGCCGTAGCGATCCGGAGGAAGGAGAATGGCTGGTACGATGAGGAGCACCCTCTGGTCTTCCTCTTCTTGGGATCATCTGGAATAGGTAATCACAGACAAATCAGGCACTGGGGCTAGGAGAGCTAGAAAAGCATCTACCTCAACCTGACAGCTCCAGAAACAGCTGCCCCAGACTGCAGAGCCACCAAGAAAGAAGACCTGGGCGTCTCAATCATATGCCATGTTACCAAGAGCTGGAGTCACTACTCCTTACCCTGTTATGGGGCGAGGGTGCACCAGGCCACTGGAGCCTGTTAGCCCTGGCCCAGGTATTGTGCATCCCCTTAGGCTCACCTCTGGGGACAGCTGAACCACCTTTACTGCCTGGCACATGAGCTGTACTCAGGGCAGCTACCTTTGGGAGACTCAGGAAACTCCTGTGCATAGTGTGCTGACTGCAGTGGGGTTGGGGTGGGGAGCTTTTCTAGGCAGTTGGGCTATATCCTCTCAAATAATTCTTGGCTTTTCCTCCACCACCACCTCCCTCCATGTTCTCTAACTACTGTTTCCTCCCCTCCCAGCACCCTTATGGATCTGATTCTCCTCAGATCCCAAAAAATTGATAACCCTTACATGAAGCTGTATGTACCACATAGTGATTTTACCATCATTCTAGATGACTTTGGAGTTGTCTGTCACAAGAAGATCTGTGGAGCCAATGGGAAGTACTCTATCCTCTTCTAGCCTTGTCTTGGCTTGACGTTTCAGCATCTAGCTGAATGGCTGGACTTTGCGTGTTTCAGAAAGATGCACAGCATGAGGCAGGAAGCAAGGCACTGCTAGAAGAGGCTCGAGTTGTGCTAATTCACAGGGTGGGCTGGCTTGTGAGTCCTGCCTGCCACCACTCCAAGGATGCTGCTACAAAGAAAAGTCCTTGGCTCCATCACAGGAAAATTGGGAGGCAATGCAGACTTTCATTGTCCCAGTTTCACTATTCATTCCCTGGTTGACCTTGGGAGAGCTTTTGAATCTTAGCTCCCTATCTATAGAAGAAGAACTTGTCAGTGTCCATACATTCCTAGTTTTTTTGTTGTTGTTGTTGTTTTGTTGGGGGGTTTTCTGGGGGAAGTTGTTTTGTTTTTCGAGACAGGGCTTCTCTGTGTAGCTTTGGAGCCTTTCCTGGCACTCGTTGTGTAGACCAGGTTGGCCTCGAACCCACGAGATCCGCCTTCCTCTGCCTCCAAAGTGCTGGGATTAAAGGCATGCACTATCAATGCCTGACCCCTAGTGTTCTTTTACTCCAAAGAGTGTCTTCTGGTTCTGATCTACCTTATCTCCCTTATTCCTAGGGAAAACTGAGCTGGCCAAGCAGACTGCCAAGTATATGCACAAAGATGCCAAAAAGGTAAGGAATTAAGACCAAGGTCTAGTCTGCAGGCCAGGGAGACCTTGCCATCCATGCTTGTTGTCCTGAAATCTAAGCAGCAGCCAGTCAAAAAGCAGGGCTGTAGCCGCAGACGCAGGCCTCAGGTCTAGCCAGGAATTAATCTCTTCGTGCCATAGTTTCTTCAGCAGTGAAACAGAAATGATCTCCCTTAGTCTGCCTGAGTGAGGGGTCCTAGGAGAAGTAAATGAGATTCACCTGGTCCATGCCAGGCATCTTGCTGGATGTACTTACAGCTAATAAAGTATTTATTGAGGCCTCTGCAAGAGCTCAGGCTAGCTAGGTGTTCCAGTCAGGTAGAGCAGTACTATAGGGAACCTTGGGAGGTCCTGGAGAGAACAAGTAGGGATGGTTTGGTGTTGACTGCTTCTTTATCTATCATGTGCCCTCAACTGGGACAGCTGCTCTGCTTCCTGTAGCCAGAGCCCCAGGTTCTCCCCAGCAAAGAGCCATTCCCAGCTCCATTTATCCTTACCTGGCTTCTAAAGACCTTGGATGACAGAAGATACTTTTGAGAAAGCAGTCCTTGGTGACAATATAAAATATTCAGTAAAAGCTAAGTATCTTCCCAACATTAAGGCTAAGAGGTTGCCCAAAACTCCAATGTGCTTGCCTGGTTTTGTGGACATTTTCTCCACCCCCAACAGGCAAAGAAGGGGTGCTTAGGCCCTTTCCAGCCAAGTAATCAGCAGTCAAGTCCAGAACTCCTATTCCCTTGTGGCCCACCTGCTCCTTTGCCACCTCCCCGAGGATCCTTGGAGCCACAGAAACAAGGTAGCCCAGGCTGTGTGGGCCCCTTCTGTGGATCAACTGATAGAAAACTTAACCTTCCTGACTCTGCTAGCAGCTGTGCTCAACCTCTGCCAGACCCACTGTAGACCCACTAGACAGGCAGGCAGGCAGGCAGGCAAGAAGTGTGAGGCAGCTAATGTGCTCCAACCGAAATAGCAGCTTTGGACAATTCATCAGGTTGGCAGCAATTGAAACAATTAGCACTCTGGAAAGGGCCATAAACTAGCGAGACTATTAGGAAAGATGCAGTTACGGGCAGGAACCACCTGATTAGGGATGAAGAATTCTGAGTGGTTTAATTTTAATACTGTCAGAAAGGTTAATATTTAATTACAAATTATAATCTCCTTATCCATGCTGTCTTAATATATCTTCATACACATTGGAAATAGGAGAGTATCTGCTGACTTGCTGCTGTAGGAAGAAGGGGCCCTATTTAAAAGACTGATGATACAGGCACTTTTTAGGTGGTATATCTAAACGGGAGAATCCCCACCCCCTCTGTGCAGGATGTCCCACACGTGGGATGGTGTCTTTCATCAGTACATGCCTCCCCAAGAATGCAAGTGTCACCATGTTCTTCCTACACCTGCAGTTTGACAGTGAGCTATCGTTAGCCAAGCTCCAGAGCCAGGGACTCTTGGCTCAAGTTCCAGTTCTGTTTTCTCCTAGCCCTAGGAAGCTCCTTACCTGCAAAATCATCTTTCTGACTTAGGACAGAGCTCTCACATTCTGTGTCTGAGGTTGTGATGAGCATTAGTTCACACGGGTTTCAGCATGCTGCATAAACTACTCCCTCTCCTTTATCCTGACCCCAGCAATGCCCACCTGCTTTATGCTCTTTCTTGAGCCTATGAGGGACTTAGCAATGCTAACTTAGACCTACTTTTTAGTTGAGAAAAAATTATTCTCAGCTGTTCTACGGGTGAGAGTGTAGACATTTTGATTTGTCTGTTTCACAGAGAAAGATGAGATACATGACAGACCCCCAGAATGCTTGCTTATTAAATCATAGGTGATTCTGCTATAAAATCCTCTGTCCAGCCGCATGAGCCAACTCATTACAGAATGTCTACATGGACATTGTCTACCCATGGACATTCATGTTTGAAACATGCCTTCAAAAATACAAGAAAACCCTGTAAGCTGACTATCCAGGGCTCCTGATACCTCAGGACACTCCATAAAGCAAAAAAAAAGGTTAGGTTTGAGCCCAGTGTCACATGGGTCATCACAAGTGGGAGTGCTCTTCCTGCATCTCCAAGGTGGCTCATGAACTGAACTGAGCATTGGCCTGCGAGTCCAGGACCAGTTCTGATCTGCCTCTCTGATCCTCATTTTACTGGTTTGTGAAGAGACACTAATGCCTTACTGCCTCACAAAACATTATTTATAGCTGCACGTTTTTCTTAGCAGGTCCATTTGTGAGCTTATTGGTTTTTCTTCCCCTCAGCTTCTATACTATTTCTTCCCCAACTGGACAGCCTTGTTAACTCTCATCAGAGTTAATAATCCTTAGGAAAGAACCTTTTGTTCTGTGACATCATCATAAGGTCAGGTACTGGAGCCCAAAAGACTTTTGAATTTTAGTGGCAGTATGGTTACAGGTTAAAAGCAAGTATCTGGTCTCCTCCCCTGTGGAATTAGCTGGGACTGTTTGTTTTCACCAGTTTTCTAAGTAATAGGTTCCATAATGCTGCTTATCCCACTAGATTACTTAGTATGTAAAATGTTGAACTCCATTCCTCACAATATTACGTATTACCCATAATGCACAGTCAGTGCATGTTGGATGAGCCCTTGGCTGCTGTTGTCTCGCTCTGTATATAACCCCAAGTTAAAGTCACACATAACCAGCCAGGCAGCAGTGGTGCACACCTTTAATCCTAGCACTTGGGAGGCAGAGACAGGCAGATTTCTGTGAGTTCAAGGACAGCCTGGTCTACAAAGTGAGTTCTAGGACTACCAGAGCTGCTACACAGAGAAACCCTGTCTTGGAAGGGGGAAAAAGTCACATGTAACCAAAAAGATTCCAGCCAAAAATATTAAGCCCAAAAACTTGTCCAAGCTGCTTAGCAAGACTCTGAAATAGACTCTAGAATACCTGGGGTGAGGTCACTTGCTGAAAGAAAGCACTACTACCTTCTGGATCCTGTGACAATCCCTTCTGAGCACACCCTTCAGATGAAGACGTCTAAGAACCCAGCTTGTTGACAGAGGGGGAAATGAAGGGTAGTACTTGTCATAACAGCAGAGTCTGCATGACCTTGGACAAGATACTCCAGTCTGTGGCTTACTTCTTCATGTCCTGCTCATCACAGGCTTGTAGTTCTAAGCCATTTAGTAGCTTCCTCAGAACATTGCCAGACAAGTAGTAAGCATAGCAAATGTCAACTGTTATCCTCAGAACTGTGACTCTTCCAGATTTTTGCTCCCTCTGGTTAGCACTGAACTTCCACAGTTGTCCTGTACCTCTCTAGAAGCTTCTGTGAATGAGCTGCTGAGACACTCTTGAAAATGTTGCTCATGCCCCCTGAACTGAGAGTGGTCACCACCTGCTACATAGCCTTAATAATAGTCTTTCTAAGCCCTTTCCTTCTTATTGGCTTAGGTCTCTCCTCAGGCCTCAGCAGAGGCAAGGATCAGAGCCAAGAACCTGATGTTGCACAGGGAGAGACTGCTTGAGGACTAAAGCCACTCAGTGACAGCACTGGGTTTAAGTGCCTCACTCCTGTTACCTGTGTTGAGTGACAGGACAGACAATTCTGACTTCACTAAGTAGCTGCCTGAACTAGAATACAGCTGTGAATCCTGGTGCCTTGTTACCTCAGCTCTCGGGAGCAGCAGTGCTGTACATTCTATAAGAGCTTGGTACAGAGAGAGGAGCAGGATTCTTTGGTAGCCAGGTACTTCTGATGCCCTCATACATAGCTCCAGGTATCCATTTCAAGGAAGGGGGCTCTCTACCTCTGCTAAATCACACATTCCAGCACCTCTTTCCCTGGCACTAACTGTGGCCTTCTCCCTAAAGGGCTACTTTTTGAGATGGAGAGAGGAGAGCTACAGAGTTATCATAGATACCTTTTAAGAAAAAAAAATGTAAAATAATAGCTGCATGCTAAAGCAGAAAAACATAGGCCTCCCACAGCCCTGCAAAGTTGAGGAACATTGTGGAGTCGTGTCCTTCATCTCTTCTCCATCTGTCCTGGTGGTGCTGACCTTGACCTTGCCTGCCTGCACCACTCAAATAGCGACTCCTCAAGGACAAGAACTTGAGTGCTGGGCACAAGGAAACACCCTCTGGGAATGCATGCGGGAGGGGCATGGGAGTGAGAGATAATGTAGTAATGAGACCGATAGAAGCTACCTGAGGGAAGGGACACTGAATCATACTTAGAAGGGCAGAGATGTGATTTGGCCTTATGAAGGTGTCGTGTGGGAAAGTAACTGGGCGGAGAAGAAGACCAGAGTAGGAAAAATGTGGCCTTCGGAGAATGTGACAGACATCTCCAGCTGCTGGGACCTGAAGGCCCAGGATAATTGAGGGCTCTGGCCTGGACCCTTCCCCTGCTTCCTGTCTCATATTGACAGACCTGCTTTTTTCCATGTAGGGCTTCATTCGGCTCGACATGTCTGAGTTCCAGGAGCGACATGAGGTGAGATAGTCTTCAGGGACGTGTAGCTCACAGTGCCTGTGATCATGGCTACTTTGGTGGTTTGTATGATTTGTCATTTGAGCCTTTGGGCTTCCAATAATTCCAGCAACCCTAGGATGGGGGGGGGGGAGGATGCACTGAGTTCTACATAAAATTTGCTCCAAAGAAACCAGTCCATCTACTCACCCATCATGGCAGGATTCCTGACCTGTAGCTGACTATTCTTGCTGAGACTGGCCTTCTTAATACTGTATGCATATAACCATCTTCCCACACTAGCCCCATATTGTAAGCTAAAAACATAAAAAGAAGCTGGGTGGTGGCACATATCTTTAATCCCAACACTCAGGAGGCAGAGACAGGTAGATATCTGAGTTTGAGACCAGCCTGGTCTAAAGAGCGAGTTCCAGGACATCCAAGGTTATACAGAGAAGCCCTGTCTTGGGGTAACAAAAGACCTTCCTAACATGCTCTTGCCCTGTACCAGGTAGCCAAGTTTATTGGGTCTCCACCAGGCTACATCGGCCATGAAGAGGGTGGCCAGCTGACCAAGAAGCTAAAGCAGTGCCCCAATGCAGTAGTCCTCTTTGATGAAGTGGACAAGGCCCATCCAGATGTGCTCACCATCATGCTGCAGCTGTTTGATGAGGTAAAAGCAGGCTGGGCCAAGGTGGAATAGTAAGGACACAACATTAATGGCTGCAGGTAATAGGAGCCTAAGGCCCAGCACCTGTCTGGTTGGTCCTTTGTTTATTACTCCTCTCCTCCCATGTATACTCAGTAACATGAAAAATCCCCTCTCTGGGCAGGGCCCAGGTGAGGCTCTTGAAGGGAAACCAGCTAGATGTCATGGCCTTCTAGAGGAGCCATTGGGTAGGGGTGAGCAAGGCAGATAGCTCATCTCTAGCTGTCAAAGTTCTCCAGTAATAAATAAGGAGGCTCTGTGTGTGTGTGTGTGTGCGCGCGCGTGCGTGCGTGCGTGCGTGCGTGTGTGTGTGTTGCCCACAGAGGCCAGAAGAGGGCATCAGATATCAGATCCCCCAAGGCTGGAGTTACAAATGGTAACTACCATGTAGGTTCTGGGAATCAAACCTAAGTCCTCTGGTCTTTAGCTGCAGAGCCATCTTTCCAGGCCTGCATTATTTCTTTGTAAATGTCAGCCACATAATTACTAATGAAGTGGTGTTTCTGACTTTCATAGTGCCCGTCTCCTTACAAACTGGGCAGTCCCTCCACTGGTCAAGATGAGCTATAAATGAGAACTTGCTTTCCCCAGTGCATTTGATATGTACCTCTAATAAAGATTTAACAGATATCATTGCTGGTTCTGTAATTGCCTGGAAGAAGTTAGCTCATTTTTTTTTTACAAATGAAAACACCAAAGTTCAGAGAAGGTATAAACAATAACTGCACGGCTAGTGAGCTTCTGTGTAAAAACAGTGTTGGACCGTGAGGGTTAGCCTCTACCCATTCCAGGGTTCCTGCCCTGCCAGGAGAATGTGAGAACCAAGGCTAAGCGGAGATGAGGACCTTTTCTCTCGCTAAGAGCTGTGCTAGCTAGCACCATGTGCCAGACAGGGTCACTTTTGTCTTTGGTCCCCTCCAGCTCTGGGGAACTAAAGATTTGCCTTGCTTCCCATGTCACATGAGGCAGAGAGAGACTTTCCAACAGCAAGTAATAATGTAGGCACTAAGTCATAGGATTTAAATGTCCTCACCAGCTGCAACAGTCTCCTTCCTTCCCTCCCAGCCCAGAGTTCTCGCCTTTTCCCCAGGTATGCTGCCATCTTCCCAGTAGTTGCCCTGCAAAGGAAGAAGGCCCATCACACATGTGCTCGGGGCCTGTTGGTGGGGTTCAGGAGCTCAGCTGTGGGTCACACCTACCCCTGCCAACCTAGGAAGCAGATAGAAAGGGAGCAGGGTAGTGGTTGGAGATTTTACACTGTGTGCCAGCATACACTGCTCTAAGAAATGCACATGGATCAGTTCTTCCCATCCCCAAAGTAACACTGAGTTAAAGGTGGTTAATCCGGGAAAGCCACTCCAAAGCTTGCAGGCTCCATGACTGCCTTCATCTAGGGCCAGAAAGAGGCCAGTCTGCAAGGAAGCATTGCAGGAGGCGAGAGCCAGATCCTACACAGATTCATATGGTGGCCTCCTTGGCCCCAAGAGAGGTAAGGTGGCTGCTGACAACCAGCCCATCTAGAACGTGCTAATGACCTCCCATAAAAGACAGGCTACCCCTGTCCTGCCTCACGGTTCCTTCCTCCAGCCCACAAACTTGTGATGCTCTTGACCAAAGCTTCAGTTAATGGTTTACTCAGCCAGATTTAAATATACATGCTTGTTGAGGGCGGGACTTTGACTGGTGCACTCCAGCCATTCCCAAAGCCCTCCAAGCCACAAACTGCTCTGTTGACCAACTGTAATTCTTGTTTTATGAGACACGGTTTCTCTATGTAGCCCAGGCTATCCTGGAATTTGCTATATAAACTAGGCCGGCCTCAAACTCAGAGACCCACCTGCCTCTGCCTCCCAAGCGCTAGATTAAATGTGTATGACTATGTATTTATGAAGTGAACACAGAGAAGGGAGAAAGCTGATAACCCACAGCCCAGGGGTCTACAGCTCCTCACCAGTGTCATCAGACAGACAGCAGGCACAGAGTGGTACAGATGAGGTAGCCAAGGGCACATAGCTAGGAAGGAGGCTCAGATGTAGAGCGCTTGCCTAGCATGTTGCAGGTCCTGGGTTCCATCCTTGGTGCTCATGAGTGCGCATGCGCACACACACACACACACACACACACACACTCCAAATAATCTTTAGAGCGGGCAAAGGGTATAGATTTATCCTACAGAGAATAAGGATCTTTAAACAACAGGGTTAGATTTTCGCTCTGTAAAGACCCTGAAGGCAGGTCTGCAAAGGAGGCCTAACAGGAGGCCCAGTGAGGAGACAGCTGAAGAATCCATTGGTAGCTGCAGCAGCCAGGTCTAAAGCAGGTTTCATAGACATTTGCCTATGAGGGGAGCAGTGCCCACATGAGCTGATTTCTGGCCAGAGTAATAAAATGACTAAGCCATGAGCTAAAGCAAGGAAATCTGCAGGCCAAGCAGCAGATTCAGGTCCCCGTCTGTAGGAAAGTGACACCTGGGGAATTGCAGTTGCTGAGAATGAGATGCCTGTGGAGCAGCCCATAGATACTCCACAACTTAGAACTGCTCTGGTCAAAAGTTACAATTCATGATGCCTTCAGCACAGAGGCTAACAGAGGCCTCAAAAGGGATGCCACCTCAATCTAAGATGGGTATTCTGTGGCACAGAAATAATAAGACATTAAACTTCGAGCCTGGCATGGATCAGAAAAGATTCAAAGAGAAATCACTATAGTGATAGGCAATCCGCAGATTGTAGCTCATATGTTTATTCATGAGGCATTCTGCAGGGCAGAAGGGACACAGCCTGTGGTGTTAATGATGAGCTGAGTGGACAGGACCCCTGAGGTAGGTGCTATGCTTGGGGAAAGTAACAAGTGCAGCAGTAATAAGGGTGTGTGATTCAGACTTTGGAGTCATGGAAGTCCCTGGCCTGTATCAAGAAAACCAAGAATTCTATGGCTGTCACAAAAGCACCATGAATACTTGGGTTGTCTCCAGTAGATACCATGCTATAGCCAAGTGTAGAAGTTCCAGAAAAGCCTGTTTCCTGGGGAGCTCTACCTTCTCTACCCACCAAGGAGTCATAGGGATTCTAATCCTGAGTATTGGCAAAGCAGACAGGCAGCCCATAAGCCTGGGGTGAGCTTGCACCCCAGCCAGGATAGCTGACAAGGACAGTTTCGTCTTTGGAACACATCTTAATTGCCAAGAAAACTGAGGTGTGAGTGCTGAAAATCACCCTTGGGGTCAGTTGTGTCCTGCTCCCCTGGCCCACATGGAACCATCCTGAGGCCCAGTTACAACCAGTTCTTTGTTCTCTCACACTGAAATTGCTTCTGGGTTATTGTTTTGTCCAGGACAGCAATTCATGAGCCCAGTCATCAGAGACAGGCCATTGTGGACACCAAGTGAAGTGTTTGGTCATGTCACGAGAGCACTCAGACTTGGCTTCCAGTCAAGCTGTCCCCACTGATTCTGTGGTGTTAGAGACAGTGAGCCCCTGCTTCCCTTTTCCCACCCCAATGCAAGGACAGCAGGGTGACCCACTCCAAAACATGGAGTGTCATGCCCCTTTGTTGGGCCAGGCAAAACAAGCTTGGCAAGCATGCCCGGCATGCCCGTGCACTCGCTAGTGCCTGGACTTCAGGCTATCCCTGATCCATCCCGGTGCCATCAGGGAAGGGGAAAGAAAGTTTGACCTAAGCATGGTGACAGGTTTAGGTTGGGGCAGGAGCCCACCATGGCTCAGTGATCTGTCCCCGGCTGTGTTCTCTAGCTCTGTCATACCTCAGACAACCCCAGGCAAAGGTTGTCTCCAGTAAGAAGCAAAGATCCAAACTAAGTTTGGCCTAGAAGGAAATCCGGTGAGGAAAGCACAAGGCAACCTCGGGCTGCTCTCTAGCCTGGTGCAGAGGAGACAGCATAGCTCTGGGCCAGTTTGTCTCTGTTGTCCTGTACTCTGGCACAAGACTCTGAGCTTGAGTTCTTTGTGGTTGAAAGACTCAAGCAATCAGCAAGTGAGTGCTGGACACCCGGGCCAGGCCCTAGCCCTGGACAGTGATGAGCAGCCTGGCCTCGATCCAGGGGAGAAGAGCACAGAGCCTGTGTGCACCCTTGCCACCTCACTGACCCCTTTCAGTGAGGCCCTGCTCACTGCTGTCACAACTGTGTTGTTGGTGTACCTTGAGGTTTGCTGTAGGGCCAGGCCATGACTCCCTTCACCCGGTTACTTTCAGAACACTGTGCTTTTATTCTTCTGTTTCTGCCATTTGTTCCTTTTCCTGCCTGACTCCAGGAGAGATGACTTCCTCAATGTCACTTCTGGAAAGAACTAAACATTCCATGAAAGTTTCCTAAAGTGCTTAAAGGAGGAACCTGGCCGTCTATCCCTCTGTGTCAGGATGGAGGATGGCTCCAGAGCTAGATATACCGAGCGTGGTGACACACACCTGTAATCCCAGCACTAGGGAAGTGGAGGCAGGAGGATCAAGAGTTCAAGGTCATCATCAGCTACACAATAAGTACGAAGCCAGGCTTGCCTGTGTGGGACCCTGTCTCATTCAGTGAGAGAGCAGAGAGGGAAAGAGCTAGAGAGGCTAAGAGTGCTTGCTTTTCAGTTCCTAGCAGCCACATCATGTGTCACAACCACTTGTGTCTCCAGCTCCGGAGGATCTAGTGCTCTCTATTGACCTCTGCAGGCACCCACACATTCATGGGACACACTATATATCAAAAAGTCAGGGACGGTGGCGCATGCCTTTAATTCCAGCACTTGGGAGTCAGAAGCAAGTGGATCTCTGAGTTTGAGGCCAGCTTGGTCTACATAGTGAGTTCCAGGACTGCCCGTGCTACATATTGTCTTAAAAAAAAGGAAAAAAAGGATGTAGAACTGACTTTACTAGTATTAGCTACAAGAGTAACAACTGTCTGAACATTTGCCCAGCATGGCTTCCTGAATCTCTTCCACCAGTGACCACTTGTGGTCCTCTTAACATCCTCTAAGATGCCCTCCCTTGCATTTGCACAGTAACCCGTAACCCAGGCTTTCTTTCATCATCAGCATTTGTTCCTGGTCTCACGGACCCTCTAAGCCAGGAACATGACAAGGCTCAGAGAGTCCAACCCAGAGTAGTCCTCCAAATAAGGTGTTTGTGGTTTGGTTGGAAGTCAGACTGGCCACAGTTGGTAAAGCCATTGTCAGGATGTAAGTCTTATGCCCAGAGAGCTTAGAGTAGGAGGAAACAGCATAGGGCTTTGGGGAACAGCTGTCTGATAGAGCCTACTTAGCTACCAGCTTCTTAAACATACCGTCCCTCATCCTTACTAGGGCCGCCTGACGGATGGCAAGGGGAAGACGATTGACTGCAAAGATGCCATCTTCATCATGACTTCCAATGTAGCCAGCGATGAGATTGCCCAGCATGCACTGCAGCTGAGGCAGGAAGCTTTGGAGATGAGCCGAAATCGAATTGCTGAAAACCTTGGTATGATGTATATACTGGATTGTATACCTGGGGGCAGAAATAGACTTGAGATCCTTAGAGCAGAAAGTACGTATCATCCCAGAGAGCAGTGGGGACAGGAGAGGAATGGCCCCTCCCTCAGTAAAACCTGGTCCACTGATTTATAGGATGGCTTTAAACCTACCACCCAGCCCTAGGGACTAGAGAGATACACACTCAGCAGAAACTGAGATTATGGAAGTGGGCAAGGCCTCACATGCGAGAGCCTTGGAGATGCAGAGAGACTGCATCTGCCTGTCTCCTCAGGATGAGCCCAGAGCCTCTTTACTGAGTCAGAGCTCAGGTCTTCATGCTGTGTCTTCTGCCTCAACCCAACCAAATCTGAATTTGCGGTTTGTGGCATCTGTGAGACAAAGGGCCTCAGAAGTTAGCTGAGGTTCTCAAGACAAGGCCCAGGACCTTAGACTATGGCTGTATGTACTCAACAGCAAGTCAGAGGTCCTGAGTGTGATAGGTAAATCCTTTATAATCTGTCTTCACAGGGGACGTCCAAATTAGTGACAAGATCACCATCTCAAAGAACTTTAAGGAGAATGTGATCCGCCCCATCCTGAAAGTGAGTTTTTCTATTGACTTCCTGCTGGGGCTTGGGGACAGAGGAAACACACTAGAAAAACGGGAGTCCCTGTCTTTCCCATTGGTCCAGAGACTTCCCACCTACCTTCACTGAGTGCCTCCAACCTTAACCTGACTCTGCAGGCTCACTTCCGGAGAGATGAATTTCTGGGACGGATCAATGAGATTGTCTACTTCCTCCCTTTTTGCCACTCAGAGCTCATCCAACTGGTCAACAAGGAACTGAACTTCTGGGCCAAGAGAGTAAGAGGGAGTTGACTGCTCATGGGTGGGGATAAGATATATGGAACTCTCAAGAATGACTCCCACCCTTAAAAGTGGTGTGGGGCCAGTAGTCCTGGGGGCACAGTCTCTCAAGGCCCCCTCGGACCAATGTACCTAGAGCCAGAAGGTACTGGGTGGGCAACATGCAGACAGGCCTCTCTCTGACCTACCTCAGGCCAAGCAGAGGCACAACATCACACTGCTGTGGGACCGCGAGGTAGCAGATGTGTTGGTTGATGGCTACAATGTCCACTATGGTGCCCGCTCCATCAAGCATGAGGTAAGCAAAGAGGCCTGAGACAGATATGGTACCTCTACACCTTCCTCCCTGGTGCCCCCAGACCCAACTTTCAGGCTCGGCTGGTCTCCCTATAGTTCAGCTGCTGGAATTATCCATACCAACAGTGAAGAGAAACCCCTTCAGAACTAAAAATAAAAGATGATCAATTAAAACTAGTCTCTAGCCAGGCAGTGGTGTACAGATCTTTAATCCCAGTACTTGGGAGGCAGAGGCAGGCAGATCTCTGAATTCAAGACCAGCCTGGTCTACAGAGCAAGTTGCAGGACATCCAGGGTTACAGAGAGAGATACCCTGCCTCAAAAAAAACAACAAAACACTAGTTGTAAGTGGGGTGAATAAGTATGAACCCTTGTTAGAAGGACCTGGGCTAAGGGACTCAAAAACTAGCATCATGATGGACCCATTAGCAGTAACTGGTGAGCTAGTTGCTTTTAAGCCCAATTTGCAAGTAAGAATTGAGGCTCTGAGATTTCTGCCTTGCCCAAACAGTAAGTGATAAAGGTGAGCTGTTGGCTCAAACTACAGGTCAGGTGCAGGCCAAGGCAGTGATGGCCATGTCACCTCCTACCACCTGCAGGTAGAACGCCGTGTGGTAAACCAGCTGGCAGCAGCCTATGAGCAGGACCTACTACCAGGGGGCTGCACCCTGCGCATCACTGTGGAGGACTCAGACAAGCACCTCCTCAAGAGCCCCAAGCTGCCCTCGCCTGAGGCTGAGAAGCGTCCACCCACACTGCGTCTGGAGATCATTGATAAGGACAGCAAGACCCGCAAACTGGACATCCGAGCACCACTGCACCCCGAGAAGGTGTGCTATACCATCTAGCATCCACCTGCCTGTATGTACCCTGAACATCTAATAAAGGCCCCTTGCTGTGGCATGGCAGCTGACCTACCGTCCCCTCGTGCCTCCCCAAGGCCTGCTGCCCTCCCCTGCCTTCTTGGTTGTGAGATTCATAGTCTGTTATGATCTCCAAGGCAAGGAACAGGAAGGCCTGGTCTGCACTTCAGTATGGACTCCACCCCACGACGTCACTAGAACGCTATACCATTTTGCCAGAAGCTCTGAAGCATGGCAACAGAAAACAAGTCTGGCTGGACGAAGAGACAGGGACCAGGCAGTGGTATGTCACCTCTGCTTGTACTAATGCAGGTCATCCCCATAGTGTCTCCATGGGAGCAGAGGAAGGCAAGAGCCCCAAGCACGGATGGCTCTGTAGTTTATTCTACAGATGTCCTTTCCCCGTGCCCTACAAGTCTCCACCATGCCCACCCTGGAGGCAAGCCTTATGACTAAGCCATTGTAGGGCACCCATAGGTCTGAGTGGTTCCTTTTCCTGCCTTTCTCTAGGACGGGACCGTGGTCCCTGGTAACCAAATGCAACCCTGTTCTCCCAGCCAAGTGAGTCTGGAATAAGCCTGCTGTAACTCAGCGTGGCATGCCCCCACGCTTACAGCAGGACACCATGTGTTTCAACCCAGCTGGGCAGGATACAACAAGGCCTGGCAAGTCACTGCATCATCTGCAGAAGCCACCAGTTGCCACTGTTACCTACAGGGTTTGAGTAGAACCCTCCTGTGTGTTACCTAGCTTCTGTCAGTTTGCAGAGATGGGGCTGAAGCCAGTGCCGTGGGTCATAGAAGAATGTCATGACATGATGGTCAAGCCAGCTCATGATCACAGCTCTGGGTGGCACCACCCAGCCCCTCAGGCAGCCTGCTGCTCTCTACCTCAATAACTGTATTCTTTTTATTTTGAAATTGTTTAGACTGATAGAAATTTAACCCCCCCCACACACACACACACACACAAAGTAAAACTCTCATGCTTTTCACTCAGCCTCTCCTAATGTCAGACAGCATAGAGCCAGGGGTAATGAATGACAAAGCCAGGACCAGGGTCTGAGCATCGCCATGTGCTCCTGCCCCATGTGCAAGCATTTGGGCTTCACCAGCTTTCCTCTGGTGTCCCTTTTCAGCTCCAGGACCTGCCCAGAAATCCCATGCTGCATTTGACTTCCCATCCCTGTGTCTGCCTGAGACAGTTTCTATGTCCTCTTTGCTCTTCTGCACTCTTGACATTTTTAGTCTTTCAGCTTGGGTTTGTCTACTGTTGCCACTGATGAGACTGAGATCTGCGTTCTTATAGACACCATCTGCCTCCCAGCACCTGAACTGTTAACTGTAATCATGAGGCTAGGGTTGTCTGCATAAGGGTTCTCTACTGAAAAATTGTAAACTTTCAGGCTGGAGTGTAACTCAGTAGTAGACCTTTCCTAATATGCACGAGGACCTGGGTTTGATTCCAAACATTACAAATATCTATATAATTTTCCCCTAGAAATGAAATCAAGCCAGACATTTCGGCTTATGCCTGGACTCCTAGCAATTGGAAGGTTGAGGTAGGATTGTCACAAGTCTGAGGTTACCCTCTGCTGCTTAGTGAGTTTCAGACCAAGCTAGGCTACATAGTAAAACCCTATCTCCAAATAAAAAGAGCCAAGCAGGTAGACCAATCTCTATGAATTCTAGACTGGCCTGGTCTACAAAGCTGCACAGTGAGACCCTTTTTTTTTTTTTTTTTTTTTTTAAGGCCTATAATATGGCTCAGCAGGTTAAGGAGCTTGCTGCACAACCTGAAGATTTGAGTTCAATCCCTGAAATCTACATAAAGATGGAAGGACAGAACCAACTTCAAAAAAAAAATTGTTCCCTGACCTCTACACCCATGCAATGACATGGGTGCCCCCACACACACACATAGTAGTAATAACAATAAATTTTAAAAATGAATGAAAATGTTCTGAGAAGATACTTGAAGCTGTTTAAATGTCACATGCTTAGAATTTTTTTAGAGTTAAGTATCCATCTTAGACATTTACTGTTGTAGTTACTGTATTACTTATGAAGACTTTGTTGTTCCTTATTCATCTGTATTGATTAATTGGTATTCTGTTCTAAAGAAATAGTTTACCTCATTTATTCAATAATGTATTCTAATTTATTCTGTCCGTTGTGATGTAGTAGGAAGTGTGTTGCTCAGTGCAGCCCTACTTGGCCATTGGAGGCTCCTTCATGCTTTCGCCTGGTTTCCAGCCTAATGTTCCAGCACCATAGACTGTTCTGGATTCACTCACAGTCTCCATATCACTGCTCCCATTTCTCCAGCACTCTCCGGTTTCCTTTTATCATATGAATCAATGATTTTGATGCTACAAGAGTAAGATCTGGACACCAGATATGGTTGATGGTGTCCAGGCCCTCCCAGCAGATGCACAAAGAAAATAAATAGGTCTGGTAACACATGCATACACACACATCTGGTTTTACCTCTTCATCTGTGTTCAAATTGGTGCCTATAGTCCAGTCTAACACTGGAATGTGTGGCAGCCTCTTTTTTTTTTAAATTTATGTGTCTGAGTGTTTTGCATGCATGTATGTATGTACACCATATGTGTGCAGTACCTCTGGAGGCCAGAAGAGTGTGTTTTATACCCTGGAACTAGAGTTACAGACAATATTGTGCCGCCAAGTAGGTGCTGGGATTTCAACCAGGGTCCTCTGAAAGAGCAGCCAGTGCTCTTAACCACTGGGCCATCTCTCCAGCATATGCAGTGGCCTTCTTAAAACCTGACTATCCCTTTTCTGCTTCTTCCTCTTCTGTTTCTTTCCTTTTCTTCCTTTGTGATGTCAGACTGCCCTGAGAGCAGTGATTCTCAACCTGTGGGTTGTGACCGCTCTGGGGGTCACATAACCCTTTGGCAGGTGTTGCCTAAGACCATCCTCAGATATTTACCTCATGATTCATAACAGCAGCAAAATTACAGTTATGAAAGTAACAGCAAAAGTAATCTTATGGTTGGGGGTCACCACTATGTGAGGAGCTGTGTTAAGGGATCACAGCATAAGGAGGTTGAGAACCACTGGCTTAGATGCTCTAAGTCAGTTGGTCATTGCACTCCTGGCCTTATTCCTATTGGATAGGCGATTGTGGCCAAAAACAGCTGGCATTTAACTCAAAACCGGGTCATTTTATGCCCGGAAACCCGTTGGCTATCCTCCTGGTTGTAGGTTGGGGAACAGAACAGACCCTTGGGCTCTGAGGAACTTGGGCTGTCACTTCCATCGGGCCAGGCCCCACTGGTGTGCTGGACTCTGGTCTGCTATTGTCCGGTGCTGAAGCACACCTGCCTTTACTCAGTGCATGCACCACTCACTCTGCTGCCAGTCTTTGTCGCTAGAACATAAGCTCCAAGAGGGCAGATGCTGACCTTCTGGCTTACTAGTCACAGAACCTGCGCGGTGCTAGCATGTCACTGACACCCAGGGATATTAGATGGGGAGGGGTGGCCTTAGGACAGGACGGTATTGTTTATTCATTCCATATACTTCTACTTGTTATGAACTTGTACCCAGGAAGTGGGATGCACCAGGGTTAAGATCTGAGCAAGCAGATCAAAGTGACAGCAGGCATCCTAGGGAGGGACCTGTTATACATGGCTGTGGTGCAAGGGGAAAAGGCTGGACAGGACAAGGCCAGACCTGTGACCCCTGGGGTGAGGGGCATCTGGCAGGAGAACCAGGAGGACTGTGAGTTTAAAGTATGTAATGATTATGTAGACTCACTAAGGAGGGAAATAGACACTACGTTCTTGTAGAGGACCTAGATTCCATCCTCAGCCTCCACATAAAAACTCACAACTATGTGTAACTCCAGTTCCAGGGGATGCTACACCTTCTGAGCCCTGTGGACACCTACACCCATGGTGCACATGAACTCATACATACACACATTAAAATGAAAAGTTTAAAAACATTTACACCTCAAGAATAAGCAGAAAATGGGCACTCAAAGTTGACCTTTAGGAGGATTAAAAACAATGTAACCAGCCAGATGTGATGTCCCACACCTATAATCTCAGCACTCAGGAGGCTGAAGCAGGCAGGTCTTCTTGAATTGGCTGAAAGTATAAGTTAAATAGGTAAAAATTTCCTGAGCTAGCTAAGGGAAAAGGGAGCCCAGAAAAAACTAAAAATGAGTGTCATCCTTGCGCAGGAGCCCTGTTAATCTTCTCCGTATTGTTATAGTTTTAGTGTGAGTGCTGCGGTCAGGATGTGTGAGAAAAGAAATTAAAATAAAATGTTATGCAACAAGCAACTTACAAAACAAAACAACAACCGAAAAAGAGCCAAAAATGAAAATCCAAGACTAAGAGTAAGGAATTAGATACAATCACAGAATGGGGAAATAATGTTTATAATTTCATAGCAAAAACCTGAAAACAGGTAAATGACAGTGTCCTAGAAAACTGACTCAAGATGCAGTCTGTGTTGTGGGCTAGGGTGTAGCTCAGTGACAGCTGAACCTGTGTGAGACTCTGTCTAGTCACTAGCACCACAGAACAGTTTCTGGGTTGATCTGCTTTTGTGTTTGTTTTTTGTGGCAATGGACTTTTGTGTGTTTTTGTATTTTTTGAGATAAGATCTTACTGTGTAGGGCCAAGCTGGCTTTGAACTCAGAGATCCACCTGTCTCTACCTTCCCACTGCTGGGATTGAAGGCGTGCACCACCACACCTCACCACAAAAAGCACTTTTGGTTTTTCGAGACAGGGTTTCTCTGTGTAGCTTTGGAGGCTGTCCTGGAACTCACTCTGTAGACCAGGCTGGCCTCAAACTCAGAGATCCGCCTGCCTCTGCCTCCCAAGTGCTGGAATTAAAGGCGTGCCACCAACGCCTGGCAGCACAAAAAGCACTTTAATTAAACTTTTGTGTGGATTTGCTTCCATGTTTTGGGAGAGGAGTGTATATAGAGGTTAGGGGTCAGCCTCAGGTATGTTCCTCAGCCATTTGTCTTGGTTTTTTTGTTAGTACATTACATTTTTTTAAAAA